TACAATCGGGACATCTGGTCACCCTAGGCTACAGGGACAATACCACGCGTGCTAAGGACCTGTGGGGTAGGCCGTCATTACGCGTGGCACGAGACGCCTAATGGTCTCGGACACTATTCGTTGGTCACGGGACATCTACATAGAGCACATCACCGGCCACCGCCAATACCGGGAGTGAGCCGGGGAGACCTCGTGCACCCGCAAGGGGGAAGAGACCTATAAACCCCCCCTGCTGGACTTTTTCCCCTGAGCCCTGAACCAACCGAACCTAACTGAACCCCACCACGTGAGGGTCACCCCATCCCCATTTCCCAGCCCTCTTACTTATACCCATGACTGTCTGTACTTTCTGTATGAGTGATGGACTTTCACCACTTGTCGGCTGTATCTTGATCCCACCCACCATTTACCCCCCCCCATTGGGGACATTGCAGTCTGTATATATTATGTGTGCTGCCCAACCCCAAAATACTAGCATCCCCCTATACTCTGTATGTTACACCCAATGACCAATAACTGACGCTTCAAATCTTCTGTATAGTTTATTTTTTAAAATATTTTTTTACTAGTGTCAATCCTACGGTGATAGCTGTTTGACTAATATCACAAGGCTGTGACACAATACACCAATGGCTCTCAAACTTTTTCACTGTTGACCCCTTTCACATAGCAAGCCGCCGAGTGCGACCCCACCTTATAAATTAAAAACACTTTCTTATATATATTTAACCCATTATAAATGCTGGAGGCAAAGCAGGGTTTGGAGTAGAGGTTGACAGCTCACGACTCCCCATGTAATAACCTTGTGACCCCCTGAGGGGTCCCAACCCCCAGTTTGAGAACCCCTACAATACACCAATCATCTTGCTCCAAGGCCCTGGTACAGGTACCAAGCAAAAAGAACTGTCCTAGATCCCCTGAAAACCCCAAGAGAGACCCCTCTACCCTTAGGCAACCTGGATCTTCCTTGCAGACACACTCCCCAACACTCAGGACTTCCTCCCCACCCTGGGAATCTCCCTCTTGGTGCCACCTTCTGCAGGTGAGTCAGCAGCTCTCCCTCCCCCCACCCAGTGCCCACCCAGTGCAGAACTAGCCCTGGCCCCGGGCCGACAACTGACAGGCAGACCTTGGGTGAGCTCCCCCAAGGGATTCCCCGAGCCCAGATGCCCCCCTCCCTCAACGCTTCCCTCCTGATGGCCCCAACTTTCACTGAGGCTCGTCCTGCCCCCGGCGGCTCCTCACGGATCGACGCGCCCCCCCCCCCCCTCCGCTGCCCCCCGTCACAGATCGACGCGCCCCCCCTCCACCGCTCCCACTGCGGCCCTTCATGGATCGACCCC